ACAGCTCCCTTTGCTAGTGGCTACGCGGAGGCTACGCGAGGCTACGCGGTCCCAGGAGTAGGCTACGCGGCTACCATGCCAGTTCCCCTCTCCTTTTGGCTCCTGCATTTTAAAAAAAACGCTGCTCATTTGAAGGGTGGCCATGGGTGGCCATTTGACACTTTTGTGCCAAGTCCAACGCATTTCCTCTCAACCGAAGTCAACGCATTTCCCTCGACCAAATGCCACCCCGCAGTCTGCACGGAGCCGAATCATGCGGGCTTCAGTCCAAAACTTAAACTCTTCCCCCACCGAAATGTGAACAGAATCTTTCCACAAGAAGAACAACACATATAGATGTCTGCTTCTTTTTTTGGGTGTTGGGGGGGAGGGTGTGGGAGGGGGGTGTGGGGGCACCCACTCAAATGGTGGTTTTCCTTTTGGGGTTTGCCCTTCAAAAACCACCAAAAAGGCGCGGCAACTCGCCCAGGGCGAATCCATGGTGAATCCATGCCGTCTCACGTCTCCTCTGCCCGCAGCTGGCGAGAGGCTTCAGCAGCCTCCGCCTCTGAGCATCCCTCGAAACTGGGCGGTCCGTTGTCCAACCCACCCCACCCCACCCACCCCAACCCATCCCACCCCACCCCAACCCACCCCCAAGCCCCCCAACCCACAACCCACCCCAACCCCACACCCCCAGATCTGCGAAAAGTGACGCTCTTGTCGACCCCATTCAAGCAACCAGTTTTATGATGGGGGTGTGTGCTTTTCCCTGGCTGAAATGTGGGGAATGGAGGACTGACCCTTTTGTCGACCCTATAGACCATAGACTCATGTCAACCCCAAATAAATTTCAGCAACAGCTTACTTTCTGGTGGCTGAAATGTGGGGAATCAGACCACTTTGGAGGGACCCCCCCTATTCATGAACTGGTTGATTAATATGCGGTCAACATTAACTCGGACCAATAGAAGCAACCCCTACTGAACCCTAAAAACCTAAAACCTAAGGAATCGAGGGCTGGGAACGCAAAATCCCCCGCGCAGAAGAGTCCGCCATCCTTCCCAAACCTTGGTACGGCATCAAAACAAACACCTGTTTTGTTTGCTGCGCACAAGAAACAGAACCAAACAACCAAAAGCAATATGCCAAGAACAGTGAAGCATCCCCACGCCATAAGCCAGTGTCAAGTGTTTTGATGGCATATCTGCACGCGTTGAAGGCCCCGCACCTCCTCTGCCTTCTTCTTCTCTTCTCGCTGCTTTCGCCTCTTCTCCTGCTGACCTTCGGCCGATGGATGACAATGCAAGTGAGGGAATAAGGTAGTTCAAGAATGGATTTCGGAGTTTTTGTTGGTTTCCCTTCAAAACCATCAAAAAGGGGTACCAACTCACAAACAAAAGGAACCACACCCATATCAAATGTGTTGTTTTAGGAAAACCGCCCCAAAATGGATTTCGGTGTCTCCTTTGGTTTCCCTTTAAACAAACAGGGACCCACAAAAGAACCAAAGAAACCACACCCCCTTTTGTGCCATCCAAACTCCTAGGGGCCTAAGGTTCTCATTCCCTTGACCGGAATCAAGATCCCTACCAGGCGGACCATACGTTCACCGGTGTCTTTTCACCAGGCGGTCCTCCAGTAGGGGTTGGTTCGAATAAGTTGGTACCGTTTCCTTTTTCGGTTTCGTCTATTTTAGTCGGGGCTTGCCCTCCCCCAAAAGAATTGGGAGAGAAGGGCACCTAGCTGAGGGACCTAGTCACCATGGCACTGCGGATGGTTAAACGCGACCTCCGCGAGCCTCGCACCGTTCAGAAACCGACCGAATGAGAGTACATACCAAAGGTTATGGATTCACTCATGGCTCCTCGTTTCGACTTGCGACGGTGCGATGCTCGCGGATATTTCAACCATCCACAGTTTATGGGTTTTTGGTTGGGTGTCAATCTTCGAGGTCGGACATCCTGAAGTCGGTGGGTGTCCCTTTGGGCTTCCCTTTCACTGCACAACATCTGGAAGTCCCTTGAAAAGCTCACCAACTGCAGGACAACAAACACACACCAACTCCAGGCTGGGAAGGGGGAGTGGTTTTCTTGAAAGAACACACCAAAAAATAACACATGGGGTTTCCCTACCCCCTCCCCCCAACCAAAAAGAACAGAATAGAAAAAAGAACAGAACAAGACCACAGACCCTGGCCATTCCTTGAAGCCACCGCTTTTCGTTTTCGCAAACGCTCCGATTCCTGGGGGCCCCAGCGTCGGTTCAGCTCCCGGGCCGCCGCGGTCACCACCTCCGAGACCACGGCGTCGCCTCGGCCGAGTCGAGATCCCAGGCCGCAAGGCGTCGGCTGGAGAAGACGTGAAACTGCCCCCTCCAAAGACCCGATTTTTGTTCAGGGTAGGATGTCGGTATATGTCGATCTAAGAAAGGAGGTATTTACTATGGAAACCCAGGCTTCTCCAAAAATACCCCAAAGAAACGTGGGTATTTGGAGTAGGGGGTGTCACTCCCAAAAACTCCAATTCGATTGATTTAGTTGGCCTTCAAATAACCTGGCTTTGAGACCGGGTCCCAACCACCGAATGGGGTGTCTATTGGAGGGGTCGGGTCTTCCATTGAAAGCCCCATGAGCCTCTGGGCTGGAAAGCCTTTCTAGAAACTTACGGCTTGAAAACCCGATGGGTCTGCATTTGGGCCGAATCTTTATATAGCCGGTGTGAGCTGCAGACTTCAAATTGAAAAACCCATAGAGAAACCTCCGCAACCATGGGAACCCATAGAAAACCCGCGAAAGAAACCCGCGGGGCAGTGCTGGGAAACTTTGGAAAGTTCTGGAAAACCCATCAAAACCCGTGGGATGCTCCGGCATCGATTTTGGGGCCGAAGCGTCCCTCTTTTCGAGCTGATGGGGCCGAATCTTTCCGTTTTGACTCCGCTTTTGGACTTGGTTTTTCAACCCCCCCCAACCAAAGCGCCAAAGTGCCAAAGCCCTCCGTGCACTTGGCAAGCCAAAAAAGAGTGCTTCTCTTCAAACAAATGGGCCAGACCCCTGGAAAATGAGTGGTTGCGAAAGAGAACGATGGGTGAAGAGAATGGGGAATGAAACCTTAGACATTTTGGGAAACCCATGGATACCGTAGGAAACCCATTCTAGGAAACCGTGAGGGGACGGTTAGTCATGAATCGTTATTTAAAATCGGTGTTTCTCAAAGGGGCATGTAAAAGCGGAATGGGCCCCCTAGTTTGAGAAAGCCGAAGCCACGTGTTCAAACCATGATTGGATTCCCGCTGAACAAATACGGTGCTGGTGGATAGGAGTGCACCCCTCAAAACTTGCCAAGATGGCAATGATTATCATACCTAAGTCTAGCGCCACTGTGGGACGAAATTTGCTTCGCACCACTTCGGATAGATGAAACCCGATAAACAGTGGTTGACAAACCAATCCCAACTGATGCGACGCAGATTTCGTCCACACCTTTTGGGTGGCTTCAAGATGGTTGCCAAGATGCTGCTCACTACCCCCAAACTACCCTCAGAAATTTCAGGGGATATACCACCAAAAAAACTCTACAAAGGCAGGTATATTGTGACCCCCTTTTGCTCTTGGGGGCAGTGGTTTGGGGGTGGTGGAAACATGGAAGCAAGGACAAACACGTGGTCCATATCCTGGCTTGGCAATGACCCATACCAATTTGTATGGTACCATTGGATGGCAAACCCATAGCTTCGTTCAAGGTCTAAAATCATGTCGCTGGCTTTGCCGTACCCTGACAGCAGCCTGGGAGGGACCAGATTTGTTGCGCTTGGTATAGGTGGTGGACCCTGGCGAAAAGTTCGACAGCCAAAAACGGGTTTCTATCATAGGTGGCCTTTTGGAAAAATAGGTGGCCCTGGTATGCCATCTACTCTTAACCAAACTAATCTATAAAGGACACCTATGGTTTCTACCAAGGCAGCCACCTGTCAGATGAAGTTGGTGGTTATCAGCCACTGGGGAAAAACCAGCTGCGGTTGGTGGTTATCAACTGACCACAGGCTCCAATTCGATTCATTTGGGGCCTTCAAACAACCTGGTTTGAGACCCAAGGATGTCTAATGGAGGGTTCGGGTCTTCCATTGAAAGCCAAAGCTAGAAGCCTCCGGGTGGGGAAAAACAGCAGGGCCGTCCTATGGAGTTCAGGCAATAGCTCATATGAGTCACAATCAAACCCCGGTATTAACATGGTCCACCCAGAACCCGGTGAAGAATTAAGAAGGCGGTCGCAACTATTTCTGGCTGTGACTGCCCCTTACTAACCTGCATCTATCCGGGTTTTGATTGTGGCTCATATGCCAATGACCGACCGACCTTGAGAAGGGGTCCCTTGAATCGGGCTCAATGGCAAGATGAAGCAACCCCAAAAGCGCAAGAGGGACTCCACTTCTTTCCAGCAATCCACCAACCGAGCGGTAAGAAAGGTAAGAAGGCAAGTCTGGCCAGAGTTTCATTAGTGACTATCCCTAAAAGGACTTGAGCCAAGGGGTCCCTTTCTCGGGATACATTTCCAGGGATACATGAACCAACTCATGGGCTGAACTCTGGCCTCACTATTTCACCATGATCAAAGTCACCCCCTAAGTGGTGGGTTTAAGGGAAACAACCACATTTTCTGACTTTGATAACCCCCAGAAAGCGGTTCTAGGGGTACTTTCCCCATTCTTTCCAGGGATCCTTCTTTCCAGAAAACCTCCGCAAACCCAGGGAAAAAGAAGGACAGAACGAGGGTTGACACGAATGGACAAAGAATCAACCCCGAGAAAGGAAACCACCACATTCTCTGACTTTGACAACCCCCAAAAGAATGACCCCAGTTGAACTCCTCGGAAGAATCCAAAAATCCTAAGATATCCTAAGTGCCAGCCAATTCCTGAAAAATCCAGCCCACAAACCCGAACAAACCACCTGACTTTTCGGGCTTTTCGAGAATCCGCACCTTCCGTCCGGCTGTCGCTGCCCCGCGCCGTCCATTTTTTTTCTCACAAGAAGTAGCTCCAGCGCCATCGTCTCGCTCGGTGTCTGCCAATCGGATCCATGGGCAGAGGCGCGACGGCCTCGATGCGATTCGGAACCCATGGAGAGTCCCGTGGCCCTTTTGGTGTCAAAGGGAAACCAAAGGAACACCACCACTAGGTCCTCCAGTAGAGAGGATGGAATATGGGTACCCTTTCTTCTAGAATTTGATTCCAACTATTCTTTTCAAAACCGGATCCGTTTGCGCTGGGTTTCTGAGGGTTTTCTTTTCAACCATCGTTCTTTTGGAAAACCGGATCCGTTTGCCCTGGGTTTTTGAGGGTTTTCTGGAAAGACGGATCCCTGGACAGAATTGGGAAGCTACCCCTAGAATGGAGAGTCCCCAACGAAGACTCGCATACCCCCAAAAATCCGCCGGTTGACGGTTTGCTCTTTTTTCTTCGGGGGGGCAGGCGGGGCGGAACCTATGGACATGTTGTTTTTTCTTGGGGGGGGGGGGGGGGTAAACAAAACTGTATGGTGGTTTGTTGGTCCGGCAAAGGACAAATACTGGACAAATATGTTGTTTCTTTGAGCGGAAGATCAGGGCGGGTTGGAGCAAAGGACATGGGTGTGTGTCAAAATGGGGAGGGAAGCCAAGTCCTTCTTGATTTTCCTTGAAACCACCCGAAACCAGGGTAAGCCTCAACACAAATCACACCCACACGCTTCTTGGACTGGTTCAACTGCTAAGGTTTTCAACTTGTGTCTTGGACTCCGGCTGGTCTTGGGCAAGTCAGGTTGGGAACCTGTTTGGAAAGCGAGCAAATCAGCCAAGCTCAAATAAGTGAGTTGTCTCCTTAACTGACATCGAATGTTGGTGAGTAACCCAAATGTCCTAATGAGATTTTGGTGAGTGTGCCCCATGGCATCTCCCATGTTCGTTGACAGCAACTGACCGCTGCACAACTCACAATTTTGAACAAGTCACTTCTCTGTGTTGTCCAGTGCTTTTGTGGGAAGACCATTTTAGTGGAGCGGCCACCAAAACAAAAGGGAAAAAGGGTGCCACTGAACAACTGAGTGTTTCTAAAAGAGTGTTGTTGAGGGAGGGTTCCTCCCAAGTCAGTCCAAGCATCACAACCTAGCGGGTCGCAGCCAGGCAAGCCGGGCGTACGTACAAACTTCCAATATATGTCCATCTTCTGGAATCTATCCTGACAACCAAAAAAGGTACCTACAGAAATGGAATCTATCTTGACCGCCTTTTTTTGTGGATAGACCAAATCCTGCACCACCCAAGAAACCCTGGAACGATTCGATTCCCCTGCAAATACCAACAAACACTGGTTTCCCAAGGTTTCTTAGGTGGCTCGAAACGGATTTCGTCCATCCACAGTAGGTCTACTGATCTGGGGTTAACATAACCCACATGCAAACTACCCGAAAGGGTCACATGCAACTCACATCTGGTTACGGCTTCCCTTTAGGATCATCTTCCCGAAGGAAGCCACTGAAAACCAGCGCGGTAAGCGATGACTCATCGATGTCTCAGCTGAAAAAGAACGTGCTGGAAAATGGGTTAGCACCCATTTGCACCCATTAGCATGTTTGAAAAGCACCCACTAGCACCTATTTTGAACACCCATTTCCCCAATTTGGTGGTTCTCAAACCAGGAGAACCCGCGACATGGCTGTGAGTTGTCTTCGGCTTCCCTGTACAAGCTGCTCAAAACACACGCCCAGCTGTGCGGGTGCTTTCCTTGTGGTTTCCCAAAAGGGGGGGCCCGAGGTCCTCCAATGGTAGAGTAATAAACCTCTGGTTGACTAAGAATACTCAGGTGCCCAGTGGCCATGGGAAAAAACGAATCGGCACCCTTTTTTGTTGGTTGATTTAAAGGGGGAACCCTCACAACCACTGGACAACTGGGATAAGGGTGTCGACCCGTTTGGCGAAGATTCATCACTTTTGGCACCCTACAGCACGGGTCCTCAACTAGGTCCTCCCATAGAGAGGTTGGAACAAGGGTACCCGATTTGTTTTCTGTAGTCTATTTTAGTTGGGGGGTTCCCTCCCAACCCAAAAGTTGGTGAGAGGTCGGGCACCTATTGCTGGACCTAGTCAAAATGTGAGGATCCCGCCCCATTCAGGCCTGCCTCCACCGGCAGCGGGTAGTGCATCTTGTTGGGTTTGGCCTTCTCGCGGATCATGTGCCTGGCCGAGACGCGCCCGAAAACGCGCAAGGCAGGCAGGCGGCACTCGTTGCGAACACGGAGCTGTGTTTGTTCAGGAGGCTTGAAAGTGAAATTCAAAGGTAAACCACAAATTTCGGGTCCCCCTATTCTAACCTTGATGCTCAAGCAACAGGGGCCCCCAACATATACAAACATAATAATGATAATAATAATAAGAACATAATAATAACAATCATAATATATGCATATACATCTATTTCAACTGTTTGTTTGCCACAAGTTATTCATCGAGACGGCGCATTTTTGGCGAAGCCACACTTTTGCGAGTTGAGCATTTCTTCCGGACCATTGGACGACCTCCGAAGCGGCCATTGACAAACGGCCCCGTTTCATCTCAAACGGCGAAAAAATGTACCCTCCGGAAGTCGCAGCTATGGTTTGTCTCCAAATGGGGGAATGCCCAACATGATTGGTGTTGCTTTGGGTTTCAACACAAAAACAAGTCAGAAACGGGTACACAGAAAGACGTGTTTGCACCGGTGGTTGGCAGAACCCCCAGCATGTTTCAGCCCTTCGGGCAATCCGAAAAGCGAGCGTGGCGCAAACGAAACAGCAACTCACTGAGAGACCTTTGGTGTGAAAGTGATTTTCTTGAGTTCAGCTGACTGCAAATGTCTGTACCGTAACATAGGCGACCACCCAAAAGGTGGTCGTCCTTATCCTTAACATAGGGGACCCCCAAAAATGGTTTCCATAGGGGATCCCCAAAAAAGAGTGGTTGTCCATTTGGCTTCCCTTTGAACCCATGTACCAATTAACACAGGGACCCCCCCAAAAAGCAAGCTTAAATAAAGTGTCAAGGTTAAACAAACAAGTCGTACAACGAAGAAAAAGGGGTGCCCCCCCCAAAAAAGTTCCGTTCGAAACCGCTGCAGCGGAATCCTCTCAGAAGCCCACCCCCCCTCCCCCCCCCAAAAAAAAACAAAAAAACAAAAGAGTGTCCCTTTGAAACGAAGCTCCGGCGGACTCTTCTCCCACACCCCGCCTGACGATGGTCAGCGCATTGTGGCGCAGCCGCTGCGTGATCAAATCCTTCGCCTCGAGTCGAAGCGGTGCCCCGGTCAACTCGCCGGTTGGATTGGCCAAAGCTTGACGTGACGTTAGGGGAGCAAAACAACTTCTTCTTTTTAGCAGTTAAGTGCTTGGATTTCAACCACTCAACCACAATAAGCGCAAACATGGTAAGAATGCTTTTCCCAACAACAACCATGAAAGGCCCAACCACCTGAACATATCCAAATTCCAAACATTCCGTGACAGGAGAAACACAGAGATGGGAAGGATAAATGAAAGGAACCGTTTTGGGGTCGGATAAAGGACACCACCAGTTGGATGAGTGGCCTTCCGTTTCAACGGGATAAATGTCCTGCAGTCCCCAAACCACAGAAAAAGATGGGGACCGAGGGTACCTCCAAGAAAAGACACACATGCAAACCCCAAGTTTTCTTGCTGGTGTGCTAGGGAATGAGAAATGGGGTGAACCGTTTTGGGATTCCCGAATAAAGGCCACCACCAGCAAGGGATGGTTTTCTTGAAGACATTCCATGTCTCATTCCCTGCTGAGAACCAGCAAAAACAAGGGCATCCTGTTTTGGCTGAGGTTCAAAGGGGAACCCTTCCCCCAAACCAAGAAAATCAGAGCCACTTGGCTCTACATATTCTGCACTGTTGTAGGCGCGCGCTGGTGGCTCTTGCGCTAAGTCGGCTAAGTGAGCGACACGCAAATTCTGCTTCACTGGGCACCGTTTAAACCGTTGCCTGGCACTCTCCACTTGAATATCCGTCTTTCGGCTTGCAATCTGGAGCGTCTGGGTGGGACTTACTAAGTATCTTCGCAGCATGGTCGCATCAAGGTGCGGCTCTTTTTCAAACGGAAGCACTACCAGCTCTGGCGATGTCGTTTCCAGCTGGATTTGTCGCGGAATGTCGCGGATGTCCTTGTAACAACGGGTGCGCCAATGTCTCCTGCACAGTACTGCGAGACTTCGGGTTGAAGAGTAACATGGCTGTGGGTCAAAAATAAGTGCCGAACATGGAACCCTGGTGAATGGAAAAGTAGACTAAAAAAGGCAGTCCGCTGGTGGTTTAATTTTGACCCAAACCCACATCGTCCCCAGCACGTCCAACACGCCGCTGACCATTTCCTTATACATTTTCTGTGGTGCGTCGCCTGCTTCGGGAAGCACGCTACGTTGCGTGCTAAGCTTCCTCCCGCTCAACGCAGGCATCCATGTCCTGCCCTGGCGCTCCCAGGAGCTTGAAGATTCTCTTGAGCTCTGCGTTGATAATTCCTGTAATCTGACTTCTGATGGTCTGGAGACGGGCTGTGGGGAATGGAATCCACTTCTGTGATACAACAGAAAGGGCTTCCCAAAGACTATTTTCCCCATAAAGGGGCCTTGTATCACAGAAGTGGGGCGAAACCCCTTGTCTGGAGCGGCCCATCCAGCAAGCTTCTGCCTTCTGCCGGCTTGCGGCATGCCCAGGAGTTCAGCACACGTGCATCCCACTGACGAGAACATCCGTGGCTTGAGTGTCTAGGTTCCAGTGGAGAGGTTAGAACAACGGGTACCTGATGTTTTTCCTTTTTTGTCTATTTTAGTAGGGGACCCCTCCCAACCAAAAAAGGGGTGAGAAAGGGCACCTAGCTGGGGGACCCAGGTATAGTCCTGAAGCAAAATCCGCTCCGGCGCTCGATGGTGGGGAGGGTGACACGGGATTGCCGGAAGCCCCCGATCTTGAACGTGCAGTGCTGGTTCAGCAAGCAGTTTGCTGCCTTGAGATCACCATGGCAGATGCCGGCAGAATGGATGTAGTTCAATCCAACCGACAATGTTCACATTAAGCAGACTTAGGGTCACATCCAGCCTGCAAATCTTCTTGAGGTCTGAGTCGAGCTCCAATATCATGTAGATCTCAGTGAAGCTTCCCAGGCAAGAGTCAAACCTCCAAACTTTTCTGACCTCACGCCGAAATGATTTCGTTTGCAGTCCACGAGTCCACGAGGTCTCACGTCAAATGCGAAGAAGAATCTCTTGACGGCAACCGTGCCCAGCTTCGTCAGTTGAATTGCCGCCCATGATCCAATGAGCTCCGTGCCCTAGCGGGAAGGCAGTTGCCAGCCAGCGGCACCGCCATGTCTCACGTCAGCCAGACCGACGGGTCGAATGGCGATCCTGAATGGTTTTGGCCGGTGTTGTGCATGGTGTAACCACGGCTTCCTGGTTGTGGCTCGCCTCACAAGAAAAGGCCTTGGGCCGTGTCTTTGGCATCTTGTTGCGTTTGGCCAAATTGAAGCCCCCTCAGATATTAGTTGCATGAGTCCCCGACTACATCTGTCCACTAAAGGCTCGCCAGCGGAAAAAAGAGCAACTGACAAACTGTTAAGGAAAATGGTAGCCAGTAGAGAGACCGACAAGGAAGCAAAATTGTAGTTAAGCAAAATGGCCATGGGTCAAAACCTATGCCTTGATTTGGGGGCGAATGAACACCCATGTACCACCTGTGGTGATGTTCACCAGGGGTTTCCTGGGTTTTGACCCACAGCCAGATGTTGATTAAGAGCAACGCTCAGACCTGGGCCACTCTCAGACCTGGGTTCCCGGGCCGCCTGATTTTTGGCGCGGTAGAGCTCCAGAACGAAGGGCTCCTCTGTCTTCCGGTCCATGTACATGGGGTACCCGCACACCTCAGCTACTTGCTCAAAACCCGGGATTTTGAAATTGGTCTCATCACCCAGAACCATGCTTCAAGAATTAAGAAGGCGGAGAAATCCGCAGCTAGTTATGGTTGGTCGTATCCCTTGACCTTCATCTACCCTGGTTTTGATTGCGGCACACCTCAGCTCAGCTTGAACCTGATTGGTGACACATGAGCCAGCTAGGGCTCAGACAAGAATTGCAACCTCCCCGAAAGACACCTTACATACATCAGCTTCCCGCTTATTGGTGTTTTGGATTAGTTGGTCTTTCGGAGGGGTAACCCCCTCCGAGTTTCGGAGGGGCAACCCCGAAACCCTCGAGAACGAACGGGTGAGCTCTTGCCCCCCATGACCTTTCACGGAAACTTGCTCCGCGCGGCAAAGTCATCCCCCTCGTCTCCGCAGACCATCTCTCTGAAGGTCTTGATCTTGGTGGTCCTCAATTGCCCCGTTCTAGCACCAGGGCGACTAAACCAACGGCAGGAGCTATCACCAAAGGGTCTCAATCAAGGTGGCAAAGCATGCCTGGAAGAACGAAACATGTTGCATTCATTGGTTGAACAAACTCCTTGTGGTAAGCCCGAGAAAAGGGGACCAGGGCCTGATTGTTGATATGTTCATCTCGTGGAAACATTCGCAAACCCTGGCAGGCTGAAACTTTTGGATTGCAACTCTCCACAAGACAAAATCAGTTGGAGCTTCTTAAAAGACACATTGACATCAACAACATGGGGTCAACTTGGTTTGTGTGATGGGATGGATTGCAACAAACCCCCGTTTCGCGGTGGCAGAAGGTCCTGAACCTGTAGACAGGCAACAAATGGCGGTGGCTCGCGTTAGGGACCCAACTAAACACCCCCACTCCCCAAACACACCCTCTTGGTCTCAAGACTAAAATACACCGTTTTGGAGGTGTGTTTTGGGGGGTGGTGGTGTGGTTTGGGGGTAGGAAAGGTTCTATGACGTCAAGATGCCGCAAGGAGAATCAACTCCCAACGAGCTAGCGATCTTTGCAAGAGAGATGGAGATTTGCCTGACGTAACACCTCTAGGTGGTAATTCGCAATGAGTCCAACGTGAGTCCAAGGCTTGACTGCAAGAACGCCATGCAATGATCTTTCCACAAAGTCCGGCTCCGGTACACAACCTTGGGGCCCACAAGCAGACTTGGGACATGAGCCCAGATCCTCAACAGCATCCATCAAACCTGATCCGGTACCGCCAAGTTGTGGCGGGACAATGTGGGCACACACTTTTCCTGTAGGTTTGTTTCATCGCGTCTGCTTCTCTGACTCAGACTCGACGATGTTCCACCTCAAAACCAAGAGGTACTTCAACATGGGCAACTCCAAGCATTTCACGGGGCCCACACGAGCTGTGTTGGAATTTCTCAGTTTCCAAGATCTGCTCAAAGCGTGCATGGGGGGTGTGATGCAAACAAAAGAAACCAGACTAGAGGTCCGAGGCACCTCTTGGGCCTTAAGGCTACCGACTCCATGGGTTGACAGCCCTTTCTTTTGAGTAAGCTGGTGAAGGGTCCCAGGGTCAAAAGAAGACTTCTTATAAAGCTTAGGGGAATCAAAACAAGAATCATAACCCTTCCTCCCACTAACATGGCACCTGTGCAAAAGGTGCCTGGAAGATCAAGCTCCTCTTAGAGCGACTCCCTGTCAGGTGCCATGGCAACATGGGAGGGAGGGCTGCTTTTCCTCAAACGCCCAGTGGCCATGGAAAAAAAAAGGAGCATCCTTCTTTTGGCTGGTTGAGTTTTGAAGGAATCGGACCCTTCCAAAAACAAGTTGCAACAAAAAGTTCCCACTGGGCAACTGGGAACCTGCCGGGAGAAAAATGCCCCTTGACTGTCCCTATCTTCCCCCCCCTCCCCCTCCCCCTCCCCCTCCCCTCCCCCTCCCCCTCCCCTCCCCCCTCCCCTCCCCTCCCCCTCCCCTCCCCTCCCCTCCCCCCTCCCCTCCCCTCCCCCCTCCCCCTCCCCTCCCCTCCCCTCCCCTCCCCTCCCCTCCCCTCCCCTCCCTCCCCTCCCCTCCCCTCCCCTCCCCTCCCCTCCCCTCCCCTCCCCCTCCCTCCCTTTGTTTTGACTGCCCCCAGATTGCTGGCTGAGCCTCGGTCTCTGGTAGCCCCTCTCTGCCACTCTGGAGGCCAAGCCCGGCATGGCGGCCAGCTCGCTCGGCGTGGCGCCGCCTAAACTGGGCCCGGGCCTTCGTTTTTTCCCGGATTCCCCGCTAAAAGTGGCGAACTTAAAGTCCTAAAAAAAAACATTAGTTGGCAAAAAGTTGTGAAGTCCGAACATCCCTTGGCAAAATGCACCAAAGTTTTAGTAGTGGGTTAAATGGAAATCCCCACTACACACTAAAAGGCTAAAAGGCTAAAAGGCTAAGGAACCGGATGGCTGGGAGCCACCAAGTAAATGTTCTTCTTTTGGGTCAACCACCACTGGGCCACAGACCAAAAACACCACGTGTTTCAGTCCAAGACAACCAAAAAAGCACGGTGTTTCTTTTTTGTTTCCCTCTTTTTCTTGTTCTTTTTGCTTTCGCGCGTCCGATTCGGAACATCCGGGCTGCTTCAACGAAAAAGCTAAAGCACATTTAAAGATTTGGGTGTGTCTTGTAGCTTGGACCCCCCAACATGGTGGTGTTTCTTTTGATGTCCCTGTACAACCACCAAAAAGGGTACCAACTCCAAAAACAAACACACCGACACACCCATTAAACTCTGGTTTTCCTGGTACTTCAACCTGCTTCTTGTAGTATTCCCTTTTAAACTCGTGCTAGCTTCAACCATCACTTTTTGTCTGCGAAGCCCTTGTCTTTTTTGGATGGTCGCCAGCCCATGAAACGGTGTCGACGTGTTCTCAGGGTTCTGGGAATGAGCCCAATCAGGGCTCTCCGCGCTCTGAATGGACTTTGCCTTTGCCCCGAAACCACCCTGCCAAGGAGTCGTCTACCACAGATCGATGGTTCAACACAACTTCTCAAGAGACTCTTGCCGCGCTATGGCCCAAAAATCTGGGGCACAGAACAAAAACATCTTCAGTGTCTGGCTCATATTTAGACCCCCAAAAATGCAATCACGTTCTCTTCCTGAGTTTGGCGAGAAGAAGTGACTGCTGCCAATGGCTTCCATGAGTTACGTAGTGACTGAGTCTCCCTACTGTGTTTTTTTGGAGGACGTGAGTGTTTGCCATGTCTCTCCGAAATTGACCATAGACAGCTGAGATCTTTGAAACAACAGATACAACAGATCCAGGCTTTCACTAGACACGAAGCTGCCGACAGTTGAAATCTGCCAAAATCCTCCCTGCCCTTCAAGACCCCCTGCAAAAAAGGCAAGTGGCAAAGTCGCACAAAAAAACATAAGTTTCCAACCTGACCGAGCCAAGTCAAACAGTACCTACCTTCCATGTTCGTAGTACCTCGAAGAGGGAATGGGGGTCTCAAAATAGGGCCCAACAAAGTGTTTTCCTGTTAGTTTCCCTTTGAATCAACCCCGAAACCAGCTCCGAAAAGAGAAGAAGAACAAAAAAGAAGCAGCGCCGGTGAAGGTCAAAAGTGCCTGAACCCTTGCTCCCGGATGAATAAACCCATCCTACTAGGGGTGTGTTGGACACCGGGGTTCCCATTACACCCGTTCAAGACATTTCAGTAAGTAACACACCAATCACGGCCATTCCCGGAATTGTCGCCAATCCCAACGGAAATCCTTCCACCATATCCGTCATGGTCATGGTGCCCCTCGTAGGGGTTCATCCATTTCCCTTTCTGGAACCTCCAAAAGTTGCAGTTTCAGTGAAACAAAAACAGCAAATTGCAACTTTTGGAGGGGAAACCCAGTGACCCCCGACTTATAAGCTCTCAACACACCAAACACTGAAGCAAATGGATGATGATCCTTCATTTGAAATCAACAGGACACCAAAAAAACATTGTTCTAAACTTGCACATGGAAGGCTACCCTCTCAAACATGGGCTGGCACACTTGGAGCATGTGTGGAACATTTGCCTTTTGGAAGGCAACGAAAGTGCATGTCATTCTCACTTGGAGGCTCACAAATCTCAGCCAGGAGTTTGGATTTGGTAGTGGGGCCTCCTTGTAGTTTCCCTTTTCAAGGGCGCAGGGGCTGGTTTTCACAATACTGTTTGTTTGTGGCATGTTCACTGCAAAACTCAACTCTGGAACGGACCATCCTGGGGCTGGAGAAAGAGTTCGCCTGGAGACCCTGCAGCTCGCTGACTCGAAAATCCCAATTTTTCCAAGTCGCTGCTGGACAGGTCCGCCAGCTCTGACCCGCCCATGGCGATTCAGATCTGCTTGTGGCGTGGAGGTCTTATGAGTCACAATCAAAATCCGGTATTAAAATGGTCTACCCAGAACCATGTAAACTCAGAAGGCGGATATCCGCAGCTATGGCTGGGATTGTCCCTTGCTAACCTTCATCTACCCGAATCGGTTTTGATTGTGGCTCTTATGATTTCAGGGGTCCCAACTTCCGGGATCAGGCTCCAACTTGAGTCGGAGTACTAGGAGGGAGTCCGAAGTCCCAAAGCCCCAACCAGCATCCGGAAAAAATATGTGGATGGCATGTTGCGTTCTGCTGGTTGCCGTTTTAAAGGGCGCCAAAGGGTCAACAAGGCACAGTCGATTGCGGGAACTCAGGAACCTCTCCGCTTTGGCTCCGATGTCGCCTGCTTTTAGTAGCCGCTGGCTGCTCCCTTTTGAGAGCCCGCAAAGCTGCCGGTGGCAAGTCTCCAAAAGCAGCCCCCTGAACCTGATGCACCCATCTTACATCTGGGGGCAACATCATAATTACGCCGACCTGAAATGAGGGAACCTTAAGTGAGGAACCCTCAGATTCATGATGAGTAAGGTTGAAAAACTCTTCGTAAACCTTGCTGCACACCCTGGTCATCTCAGGCTCTTCATCATTTTCGGGGAATATGTTTCCCTTCTCCGCAATCTGTGGGACACCAATACAAGGAACACCGCATCTTTCATTCCTTTTTCAGACCCGAGCGCCCGGCATCAATGGCGGGGTAAAGACGCTGAAAAAACAGTAAAATTGTCCAAACCCCCAAAAAGTGACTAGGGTCCGAGTTCCGGAACTCGGGAAGTGAGTATATAGAATGAAAGAACTCAGGGGAACCACCAATTCCTATGGCTATACATTGCTATAGGACTAGGTGCCAATGGCTACAATAACACGAAATTGGTCCCTACTGGGAGGTCCGCCATTTGCCAGCTGGGTCCTGGAGATGGTCACGGTTACCCTCCCAGCAATTGAGATGGAACCTGACGTTCGGGGGTTCCTGGTTTTGACAAAAATTTTCCTTTTACCCAGAGGCTCCCATTCGATTGATTTAGTTGGCCTTCAAGCCACCTGGTTTTGAGACCGGGTCGAAGTGGGGTGTCCAATGGCGAAATCGGGTCTTCCATTTGAAAGCCAAAGCCGATCGGAGCCTCTGGGTAAAGAGACTGGGGAGGGTACCGTTTGGTCTCCTGGCTTTAACCTCGACCAGAATCGACCCCCAAATTTTGAGGCTGTGGCAGGCTTCCTGGCGAGTTGCTTTGCGCGGTGACCAACATGGGCCGTATTCGTTTTACGGTTTCAAGGCAAAACCACAAAGAAACAACCCAGTCTGCAGTTCCCCCCATTTTGAGAAACACCCCTATGAGTAGAATGGCGTCATGGGGCTTTTCTTAAAATCGAATCGAGTAATGCTCCAAGGAGAGAGAACATGCTAGTAACTACAGTAACCATTCAGCCCCTGATGACCTCATATTCCTCTCCCCGCCCCGCACAATATGCAGCCTGCCATCGGGTCTCCGGAAGAAGGCACAAAGTGTGTTCTTCCAGAGGCCTCTTGAGGTTCCTTATGTTGGACTTCCATTTGGTTAAGACCCCTGGAAAAAATGAAAATATTTCCAGTAGTGCTAGATTCCCTTTAAAACCAACAGGGGAAAAAAAAACTTAAGCAAATGGAAGTGGATTGTTTTGGGTGATGGGGGGGGGCATTCGTATATGTGAAATGGATTGAAATAACCAAACTGCGACTTTCATAAGGGAGACAGCGGCTGTTCGTCCAATCAAGTGATCTCAAAATGACCCTGCCCTGAATATGGCCCTTCCTAAAGGGCTTGAATACGGCCGTGGCCGCCGTCGCTAGAGCTAGGAGTCCCTACGACAAGAAGCAAAAGAGGTTACTACGCACACATGTCAATGAAATATCAGTGGAATATGGTTGCCTTGTTTTTTCCAGACACTGCCGAACCACACTCCAAACTTTGGAAAGAACATTACTTCATTTACATATCATGATTGAAGGTGTTCCCAATAGAAACGAATCGTCTTCAAATCGTAGCTTCTTATTCTTCGCTGCAAAGGGGAAGGCTGCCACTCCCCAGCGAGTTCGGCTCTGAGCTCAGAAAACCTAAACAACCCCCCGGGGAAAACGGTTGCTGGCTTTTGAAGAAGGCTGATTGAAAAATAATACAAGATGAACAAAGACAACTACTGTGAGAGCCAGCACAGCATTTCTTTTGGCTGGAGACGCACACATCTCATCACCAGTTGAAGTGACCTTTTGGTTTCACGACTCTCTCAAAACGCCCTCGAGTGGCCTTCGTTGGCTCGGGCGGGACCTGCCCGGTGCTATTCTTTTTTCATGGCCCGCGGAGAATTACTTTCGGGCCACTCTGTCCAATTGGTGCAGGTCCCAATGGAGCCTGAAGAATGCGCTCACGCTCCATAGCTTTCGATGCTTGTCTGCGCTTTAGCTCTAGGCCCCCGGGTCATGCGGAATGCGGAACAAGAAGGGAAGAGCTTTCCTATTCCGCACTCCCGGGACACGCTGCAAGGAAAACCACTACCATACTACCATATCCAGTGCTTCCAGCTACGGGTTTGTCACCCCTAGCGTTTGACATGATGGTCTTGCCCTGGCTACCTAATTTGTGTGGCAACGGAAAAAATAACGATAAATTGTGGATTTTTTGGGTTCCTTTCAAACCAACCTGAACAGAGTACCTTCAACAAAGGCACAGCCATACGGGTCCCCATATGGGTATGTCTTGATTGAGGGCCCCCAAAATGGATTTCGGTTTTCCTGTTGGCTTCCCAATAAAGCCAACCAGAAAACGGGTACCGACTCCAAAAAAGATGGACCCATGTGGGTGTGTCTCGTTTAGGGACCCCCCAAATTTTTGAAAAGACCGTTGTCCTTTGGTTTCCCCAAAAAACACCCAAAATGGTGGTTGTCCTTTTGGTTTCCGAAAAACACTGACCGGACCCTCGAAATGGTGGTTTTCCTTTTTGGTTTCCCAAAAAAAACACCAACCCATACACGGATCTTGAACCCTGCGAAGAAAAAAAAATCCGGCGGTCCTCCGCAGGCGATGGGGCTGGCCCAGCGGCTTCCGCGTCCGCCTTCTCGCTGCCTCGGACCCCCGCTAGGTCCAATGGGGGGTTCTCAAACTGGGAACTGGGCAGCTAGGGATCCAAAATTTGGCGCGTTCAAGCTTCCCCGAAGCCGAAGGGCCCCCTCAAACCCTTGGGCCCCCTCAAACTTTTTTGCATTTAGGGACCCCCTCAAACCCTTGGTCTCAACCTTTTATGCGCCAAAATGTTGAAAGAAACACCCATGTGTAAATAAGGGAATTTGTTTGTTGCCACCAATCCACAGGGATTGCAAATTCTCGCCATGACATGTGCTTAGGAACCATCAGCTGACTCCTGTCCGCCGCTCACATGGCGTCCAAAAACGGAAAAACGGCCCTCTGTGGATGGTGCTTAAGAGTAGTTCCATCCAAAATCGTGAAGGAAGCCCAAGACTGTTGGGCCCTACCGGGATCCCCCCAAAAAACTGGCCCCCAAATGGAAAGAAGCACGTGCACCCTTCCAAATCTTGGCAGCATCTCCACGCCTTGGGCTCCGTGCGCCAAGCTCTGTCTAAACTCTGGATCTTCTTTTTCAGGCTCGTGGAAAGCAAAGGGGGAAAAGGGGAGCTAATTCTGAAGCAAAAGGGTGTGTGGCCAATCCGATTTTCCATTCCAGTTTTGGACAACCAAGGGGAGCAACTCCTTTGTAACCCAAGGTAAGGATTAAGGATTGCGACTCACAGCCTTAAGAGGGTGGAATCCACTAACTGGGTCAGGAAATACCGCGAGTTAAAACTGCAAGCGCACCGGCCCAAGCATCCCGGCCATTCTGCGTCTCCTCGGCCGGGCAACGTCGCTCCGTTTTGGGGCTTACATGTTGGACCCAACCCATGTCCGGAATCCCCGCAGTAAAACAGACAGCAAATAGAGTAAAATTGACCACATAACAAAGGCCTGGAAAGACGAGAGCCAGACAAAAGCAAAGCGGTGAATTCCAGTTGTCTCGCCTATATTTTGCGCCCACGACTAAACCTAAACCACACGCGAACACACAGAGCCTCCGATAGGCAAGCCGTGAACATGGCCACTGCCATCATCGTTCAGTCTCATCGTTCAGTCTAGAATGCAGGCATAAACCTGATTTGCACACTGGTTCACTGAAACAATATACAGCGCGCTTTTTTGCTGCAGGCCGTAGCTGCAGGCCGTAAAAGAGAGCCGCACCAACGCAAAAAAAAAACAAAAACAAAAAAAAAACAGCTGAGCAAATGGGGAAAGCAATCACCCGCAACAAAGCTATCCAAAGAACTTAAATGCGACAACTGTGCCAAAGTCATGCTCCAAATCCAACCCACCGAGCTCCAGCTCCGGCTCCACCAACCAGGGGTTACCTCATCACCACCTGCCGCCCAAACGAAAAACACACAAAAACTGACAAACAAAAAGACAGAAAATCATAATCTTCACAAATAACAGGAACAAACATACTCAGAATAGTAATTTTAACACTTAACAAGAACAACAATAACCTGTTGTTTCTGTTCGCACGCCTCCTTCGCCTCCTTCGCCTCTTTCGCCGCCTTGGCCTTCTCAGCAGCAGCTTCCTGAACCCCACACAGAATGCAAATTCCGCTTCCCGCGCGCCACTCCGGCGACAGATGAAAAGCGGTTTGAAGGCAGAAAGGGATGTCCTGAGCATGACTTATACGGGAGGGGGAAAAAAAACACGCAGTACCAGCGGAGCAAAGCCTCCTAGCTGGTGTAGGGGTACCACCCAGAGTATCTGGAGGAGATTGGCCAGGAAACTTGCCAACCAACAAAAACCAGGGGGTCTTCCTGGAGAATTCTCCAAGATGGTTTCTTCGAGTCACATGACTGTTTTTCAAGATGGATTTTGGACGTGTCCGGATAAGGTAGAGGGTGGGGTAGAAAGGGCAACCTATGGAACACCAACTATCTGGAGGG